CATCGCTGCCTACGCCGACGGCCAGAGGCCCGCGCATCTACATTTTTTCGCCTGACCCCATCAGTGCCGACCCAACTACACCACCACGCGCATGCCTCGCGGCGGATATGCGCAGCAGCAAGAAGGTTTCGGTCATCCCTTGAGGGTGAATCTAGCCCTGCTCGCCAGAAAGACCCCCCCCTTCACTACAACCCATGTCTAAGCAAAAGCTTGTCGAGGAGCGAGGGGAAGAAGGGAGAAGTGTGCAAGCCGAAAACACCGGCACTATAACGACAACCGGCACTATTCAACCGGCAGTAAACAAGGACCTCTACTGTACACCTCTATTGCTGCGCAGCCGAGAAGCGAGGAATTTGGAGAGTTATCCATATGCTACTGCTGAAAGTCAGAATGAAGTCTACCGTTCGTAGATCGCGTAAGATACCACACCCAATAGATCGAAGTTTCAAGCTCGATCGATGCTGCACTCCAAGACGAAGAGGATGCCACGATCAAGTAATCCGTTTCTCGGAAAGCTTTCGACGAGACGGTTCTAACGCGGCCATTTTCACAAACACTGCTGTTATTGCTGCGGAGCAATCGAGCTCTGAAAACGAGTCGAGGGGGTGTGATATCTTATATCTTATGCCACCCGTGCGTTAGCCCAAGCAGAGATCACCGTTGCGTTGTTTTTTTCGAAAGAAACGCGTTATTGTTCTAGTATCAGCGGGGTAAGCATCAAGTCCATGTCTTCTCTTCCACAACACACCTCCGCCTAAACTCCCAATATGTGGCGAATCTTATAACAATAGTGCTTCTCGTTTCGAGAGACTCACTACTTCATCTATCTGTGCGCACTACTGGAAGTCGCTAATTTCAAGGAGTGAAGCCGTGGGCGGTAGCTTGCTCCTAGAGATAGATTAAGGTTCTGTCGTTGACACGCTTGTCCACGACCACGTTGAGATGGGAAAGTTGCTTGGTATTGCTGAGAGACGATCAGCAAAGGTCTGGGATGAAGTGGGGATGATCCAACTTCATCTCAGGGGGTACACCGAGTAGAAAATTATAAGGGGGTAGGGGTCAGAAGGGTATACCTCCTGACCGACCCGCATCCTATCAACAATAAGGTGTACCCTATTCATGCTAGCAGCCACACTCCTTAACACTAGCCCACCCTGAATATCATGTATGCAGATTCTATACTCAAATCAATGCTCAAATCCTAGTCTAAACCTACAGTTAGATTTTAGCTCATTATTTATGATCATGAATCGAAGATATGACTCTTCACAAAACATCCAAAAGGAGGGTGAGTTGTAGAAATATCCCGAATCAATCCGCCACACCATCATTGAGATGAAGAATGCGAACGGTCACGAGACGGAACATCGACATCTCAATGACAACGCTTGAAGGGATAAAGCTACGAAGAATATATATTGCGGCAGAGCACGATATCATCCTGAACAGACGACGACAGGGAAAAAAAAAATCAATATCCAGACGCCCACACCACTCTTTTACGCGCACCCGCGCGTATCGCCGCTGGAGGAATGAGGGTGACTACCCGAGCGAGTCCAAAATATGGTGACGAAACTCAAAACCCAAACAAATTTCCGAACGAATACGGCCTTTGATACTGGACGCGACGCAAAGGGAAAACTCAACGCAATCTAGGACGTTAACGAAGGGCAGGAGAAAAGAACGACAGGCAAAGGCACGGAGAACGATTGCCAGCGTGCCAGGGTACCCAACTCGTATAAGGAGACGGCAGGGGCAAGACCTAATGAGGACCAAGGATGCAAAGCACAAGCGATTAATGCAAGAGAGGCGGTCGACGAACTGCGCCATGGCTCGCTGGCGATACGCATCATTCAAAGACATAAAACACAGAAAGTCGTAGAGATGCACACAACAAGACGACGACTCAGGGGCGCTACTGTGATGAAGGCGTCGCCCGAAGGTGGCGATGATGGAGACGAAGCAGAACGAAGTGTGGGTGACGACGAAATTCCATGGGAGAAGGCGACGCCACGGGATGGAATCCCGAAGCACCAAGCGTATGCGACACTTCTGCGGCACGATGGAACCAGAACAAAAAAAAATTAGACAACATTAGTTGGCAAACAGGCGAACCAGGAAAACGCGGGGAACTCGGTGTCCAAGTGTCCCGAGGCAAACAACACCGACGAAACTTGGGGAACTCTTTTTCCAAGTGTTCAGAGGCAGACAACACCGACGAAACTTCGGAGGGAGCTTGTTGAGAGAACCAAAGACCAACAACCAGAACAAAAAACGAAGCAAAGGCGAGAGAGAACGGACATCCAGGTCGCGGCAGTTCACTGATTCAGATGAATGCAGGCAACAAGGAAGAAGGATCACTCGACACTGCGTGTCTTGAGGCGGCGTTGCCCCAGCGTTCAAAACAAAATAAGCCAACGAAAGGAAAGAGACAAGACAGAAAGACGAAACAAAACAAAATAAAACAAAACGGAAGGCGACAGAAAAAAAAAGAAGCAAAACGTCGGCGAGAAGGATGGCACAAAAGACCAAAATAGGCCGATTGGTATATGAAAACGACGACGCTAAGAAGAAATAGTGGGAACAGCCGACGGTAAGGAGTCAGCAAGGAGCGGAGTGCGACCACGGTTGTCGCCCAGAGGGCGCCAACGATGTTTCTCTAAACACCATGTTCCACAGACGGCGTCCAAGGCGGTGGAGTAGAGATGCGCAGGCAGAGGCAGAACGCTTGGGCCCGGGTCATCCAAAAATCGAACGATGTACAAGCCGCCCTGATGAGCACCAATACGTCCGGTCCACCACAATCCATCACAGGCCTGGTACCACAGCCGCGCGCCAACAGGGAGGGGCGAAGTGATGAAACGGCGAAGCCAAGTCGCGTCAAGCACAAGATCAGCCCCAGGAGGCAAATAGCGTTCTTCACGATTCCGGGCTAGCTCCCGCTGTGCCGCGCGAGTCCGAGTCACTCGATATGTACGGTTACCCTGCTTGCTTTGGCAGGCCTCCCGGAACCAGTACAAGAGGATGTGTCGACGGAAAAGATCAAGGTAGGACTCCCGTTCCTATGAAGGAGTAGTCAGGCCTACCCAATGCGTCTGGTACAGGACAGCGAGGACGCCGCTACGGCCCCGCACCAGTTGATGTCCCGAGATGTAGTCGACCTCGAGGCGCCCGACAGGCACCGACACATCATCCACGGTGACGTGGAAAGGTGGACATTTATCTCCGAAAGAGTGCAGAACATAACGCGAAAGCTCGGCGGGCAGAGATTGCGGCAAGTCGTCCGTCTCGTATGAATTGCGACAGGGCTTGCAACGAAGGACAGACACATGACAACGAGCTGCCGGGCCGGAAAGACCGGAAGGCAGGTCCAGGTAGAAGAGTTTACGCGCCAACGAGCGGCCGTCCGGAGTGGCGTCGGCAGAGGTGGGACCCACCGCAAGAACTTTGTACGGCCCCGTCCAGGAAAGTGCGAATTTGGCCTTGAGCACCTGTTGGTCCGTGTCCTTCTGCACACCCTGTCGAATCGTAGCAGCCGTGTTGTACACCCAAGCACACCCGCCAACGGTAAACTGAGGGAGCTTGTGAATGGCGTCCAGCAGGGATGAATTCCGGCGTTCGACTCGCGAAATCTTCAGCGCGTTGTACTCACGGACAAGTTCGTAGGCCCGGCGCTGGCGATCGACAGCCAGGTTGCAATACTCGAGTTGATCGCGGGCCAAGCTTTGATGCCAACCTACCGTGGGACAATCGAAAACCGAAAGCGGGAGTCACGGTATGCGTCCGATGTAGATCTCGTTTGGCACTAATCCAGTAGACTGGTTCACGGACTTGTTGTAGGCAAACTCAACGTGTGGGAGATGTATGTCCCAATCGTTTTGCTGTTCGTTGACGACCACCGCAAGCATCTGGGCCATCGTGTGGTTGACGCGTTCCGTGCCGCCGTTGGTCTGTGGGTGGTAGGAGCTGGTGGTGA